TGCAGCTGTTGAATTGTTATTGCCTTGCTCCTTGTTATTTTTAAAAGATCTTTGCTTTCCTGTTCCTGTAATCTTTTCTTCAAGGTCTGAAATTCTATCTTCACTTTTGTTATGGCCATTTTGACAACTTTCAATGGGATTGTTTTCCTGTATATCTCTTTGAATCTGCTTCATGTATTGTGTTTGTTTCTTATTATATTGTTCATCCAGGAATTGTATCTGTTTGTTTTATTCATCTAATTTTAACTATATCTTCTTTAGATATGTTCAGCATTTCTTTCCTTACTTTTATTATTTCTTCTTTTACCTGGGAGATTATTTATAGTTTGAATTGCTTTAAAGGTTCCAGGAGTTGCTTCTGTATTTCAGTTTCTATTTTTTAGGGGGGGGTATTTCAGGTGTATTGCAAATATTTTCTTCCTCGTACATGGCTTCTAGGCTTTCTTGGGATGGGCTGGAGATTTGAGATTGCATTTTGGTCTTTCATTTGGTAATTTTCTATATTTTCGCATTTCAAGTGGTGTTCCAAGGCTTTCCCCCAGCGTGTTGAAGCCATCTCCTATGTCTTTGGTTCCTGGGACACTGTGGATGATGGTCCAAAGCTCTCCCTGGGCAAAGACCAGTGTCCTGGAACTCATTTCATATGCTCTCAACTCCCCTGATGGAAGAAGGTCACTGGGTGTAATCTAGTAAGTCCTTGAATCCCCCTAAGCCTATTTTAGTGTGGCTGTAAGCTAGGCACATCCTTGACCACTGGGAGCTATCATCTTAAACCCTCCCCAGGCTTGGGATGGTGAGCAGGAACTTACCCAGTCAGCAGCCCAGTTCCCTCCTCAATAAGGTGCTTTCTTAGTGAAGCAATAATGATCACACATACATGTAGGATAAAACATGGAATACCTAGGGAACACAAAGTTGAAGCACAGGGTAGTTAGCAGGAAATGTGAAGAAGAATTTTATGGAGCTTGATGCAGTGATTTTCAGCTTTGGCTACACATTACAATGCTCTAGGTAGCTAAAAAGATGTCCCAGAATATAGAGGTATACTGCAGATCACTTAAACTGTGAGCTGGTAGGATTCAAGCAGGAATATACATAAATTTTGGTTCTTTCCAGGTTGATTTCAATGGGCGGCCAATACTGAGACTTGTTGGTTTTCCAACATGTGGTTACAGCACACAGAAACCTGCATTACCATCACCAAGGATAGAGAAATGTTCTTGCTCTGACCACACCTAGACTTCCTGAGTGCCAAGTTTGTTATCTTACACCCAGAAATCTATGGCTTAAAAATCTGCAGATGATTGAGATGCATTATAGAGTTTAAAAACATTTGCATTAGAGGAAGCTAAGGACAACAAGTTGGAAATAATTGACAACAAGTTGCCAATATCGAAGTAACAAATAGACTTGAGTCAAGCCAGAGGCACCAGGGAAAGATATAGATTAGACAGAAGTTCCAAATCACAAATTTTAATTATGAGCAAAATCCAGAGCAACAATCAAACAGAAATAATCACAAATACAACTGTACCAAATATGTTTATTCATTTCCCCTAATAATAAAGGAATACCTTGTACTGGGTACTCTGCTAAGAATTTGCACTAGATACCACTTTGAACTTGATCACAATACTGTGAGATAGAAATCCTTACCCCTATTTTTCAATGAGGAATTGGAGAATCAAATATTTCATTCTAGAATATAATCCTTGATTCTAGCTCATGAAGTTAGCCGTATCTGTCTCTAGCCCTTTCTTATCTATCACTCTATGATTGTCTTACATGATTTTTATCCACAGACTTGACTTTTAAAGTTATCTTTCTTTTGAGAAAATCCTGAAAGAACATCTAGTTGAGGTGAGATAAAATATTGCCTGGGATTCACTGTTCCTGAAGAAAACATAGGCATCAAAGTGTTTTCAAGAAATACTCTGTTTATTGTATTACCCAAACTCTTCAATGAAATTCTAATCCTGCTGAGACATAAGAGCTGCTTATGTTTTAACCCATGAACCTTAAGCCAAACCAAGAAGTATATCCTCCTGGACCTGTCCTTCTGAGTCCCAGTTCTTAAAACTGACTTTTGATGTCTTACCATTTAAAAGTCAGAAATGGACCAGGCATGCTGGCATGTGCCTATAAATCCAGCACTCAGGAGACTGAGGCAAGAAGATAGTATCAAGTCTGAGTCCATTCTGGACTATATGGTGAGATCAGTGCCAGCCTAAACTCAAAACAAGATCCTGTCTCCAAAAATAAACCAAAATTAAATAAATAAATAAGCTGCAAGACAGCAGGAGACTACAGTAAAGCAACAAAAGGAAACTATGCAGATAATTTGAAATGATTATATGTATTCTTTCCACCAAAAGAGACCCAGGTGTGCCTTTGATACTAACTCACATTATTTTTTCTCCTCAGAAACAATAATGATATGTTTGCCTCTTTCACACCATCTAGCATCCATGTAGATTCTAAAACAAACACAGGGGAAGGAAAAATACCCCCCTAATTCCATAATTTCCCCACAATAATGACAATAATTTTGAGTTAACTTTTTTTGTTACCAGCTAGGCTAATATCCTATCACCAACAAGTACTAAGACCATTCCATTTTCACTTTTTAGAACAATTCAATACATTTTAGACACTACAGTCAAAATAATACAGATATACATTGGTTGATAATTTCCCTTTTAATATCAATTTTGGCACATTACCTCTTTCTCCATTCAGAAATCCACTATTTAGTACCAATATTTGTCATTTATTCTATTAGATGTTTTCTTGGGCAGGGTCTTTGATTAGGTAACACTACTAAAAGAATTTGACAAATATAAAAGTTATGTGCATTAACTTCTGTATTTTTATCAACCAGGGCCAAGCAGCCAAAACAAATAATGTACAAGCCTATCCACTATGGAAACTGAGAGAAGTCTAGTGACTGGCAGTCTAACGGGAAAACAGATTTCAAAGAAGAAAACCACAGAGATATAAAGATTCTGGTGCAACAGTGGAGTAAGTGGCAATATGTGAGCATGAAATGCAATGTGGTTTCAGGTATCCTGTTTGATCTTTGTGTCTTTTGATATCAGAGCTGCCTTAACAAGTCCATGACAATAAAGACTAGATGTTCTCACTAAAGATAATCTGTATTTGTACCTTGAAAGAACTTTGGCAGTCACACTTGACTATAAGCAACTATGTTCTATGGTCCCAGCAGAGAACGACCACAGTAAGGACATTTCAACTGTAGAAAGAAACCATAGTTTCCTTGTACTATTTGATGTACAACATGTGGATCTCCAGATAGTACCCACAATGGCCTTGGATCATGACCACAGTCTGGGAATGGCAAAATTTCCCTGGGAATTAGGTGGGTCTAGAACTGTAGAGTCATAAAACAGTGAGCAATGACCAGGAGTGATTTGTTGCCATGGGTATGCAGCTCTGAGGATGTCCAGAAATATTTGAGAAGAAGGCCTATAAAAGGCTGACACTATCTAGTCAAGTGAGAACTTATAGCCATGGAGCACTTTGGCTTTAATATTAATGCAGTTCCATCTAAACTCTCAGGGTGATGAATTTGAGACCTTTGACTATAATAATATAAATGTAGCTTTATATAAAACTTATACTTGCTCTTTGATCTCTAGTATCTTGACAATATTTTTCCTTCTTCATAATTGCAGTGTAAATTTGTGTCAGCAGTTAACTCTTAGGTTTGAGGTATTGTCATCCACTCCCACTATATGACATTTATTAAAAGTCTGAGTGATGGCTCTTGTTATGTAATTATTTCCTCTAATCCTAGTATCTAGATTTCTTCTTTGTTGGTCTTAAGCTACATTCTCATATGTTGTATTGAAAGTGTAAAGTGACATATTTCATGTAGGAAATTTTGACAATATTTTTCAAAATTATATAAATATAAATTTTTAAGTTCAAATCCAGGACATTCTACATACTAGGTAATATTATGTAGGTACTTTGATCTAATGAAATTCCACTAGGAAACTGTCCTTCAGATATACACATGAAAAAATGTGTTTTTTGCAGAAAAGGATTGAAAAACACTCAAATGGCTATCAATAAGGAAATGATTTGATTCATTATAGTGCATGTTAAACTGAATTATGAAAGACTGAAGAAGTACTATTGTTTATTTGTGGAAAAGAGAGAGGGAAAGTATACTGATAGAGACAGATGATTATAGATAGATGAGAGATAACAGACTGATGATTGACCAAGGACAAATGATCGACAGATGATGATAATAGATAAATTGATAGTTTTGTGCATAAAAATATCTCCAGAAGGAAGAAAGAAATACCTGCCTTGTTTCCTCCATAGGAGGAACTCAATGGTTAGTGGATAAGTAGAGAGCAAATTCTCACAGTATATTTTTGTGTATCACTCATATTTTGAATCATATGATTTGGTTACTTAATGAAAAAATAATCTTATATAGCATACTACATTTATTAACAATTTAACAAGCAACATAGCTTTAAGTTTACTAAACTTTCACAATACCTTTTCCCTGCCTTCTCTTCTGAAAGAAAGACTTGTACCCAGAAACCCCTGATAGAGAAAGGAGTGGCAGAGATTCAACAAAACAGCAGCACTCAAGGCAAACGGTGAGCTCATCTCCTGTCAAAATTAACCTGCCCTTCAGGTCTCCATGGACCACAGCTTGGACAGCTGGAATTTTCCCCTGGCCATAAGGCTGATGTGGTTCCTCTCTCAGATGCGGTCACAGTGCCCCAGGCCTCCCCTCTTAAGGCAATGGATCATAGCTTCAACTGTTTATCTGTCTTCAACCCATATAAGCTGCGATTCAGATTACAGGGTCTTAACTCATATTTTCATGTGTTTCTCTTTGACGTGTAAATTGATGCAGCCATTAATTGAGGGCAATTAACAATATTTGTCAAATATCATAATAGCTTTTATTTTTTTAAATAATTTTTTTAAATTTTATTTTAAACAAAATAAGACAGAACAAAGCCATTCAAAACAAACCAGTATAAGTGACACAGGACTTCAAGACAATAAGAAATCAACAGTGGTTATCATAATGTCTTTTGTCTTCAAAATAGCTGCAGATACCTTCAGACGTAGTAAAAATCAACAAAACAGAACATAATAAAACCAATAGAAACAAAACAATGAATACAATGAAGGACTTCAAAGCAAGACAATATTAAATCCAAAATGACTACCATAATATATCTTGTCATGTTTGAAATACCTGCCCAAGCCATCGAACATAATAAAATCAAACAAAACAGAACAGAATAAAACCTAACCCAACAAAACAATGAAACTGATACAAGATTTCAAAACAAGATAATGGGGAATTAACACTGGCCACCACCTTCAGAAGGAGATCCCCCATAGATGTTACATTGCATAATATAATTCTCTGCATAGATGATCAGGCAATTGGCTTTAAACCTTCAGTCAATAAAACACGAAACACTACAAGTTTTAAGCAGTATTTCACCCCAATAGCTATCATTGCCACCTGTTCTTGAGACCTACATCAGCTGGTCTCTTAAGGCATATGTGCAGGGGGCGGAGGGTGTTGGATCTTCTTGTTTCCCAGCCCACACACTGTAAGGGGCTGTCATCCAGGTCTCCCCTCAGCTGCCTGTGCATCATGCCAATTTTCAGGGAGGATTTACTTCTTGGTAACTTCTTTTTCTCCTCCCTCACAGTCCATGACTCATTGGAAAATGCTGGCACCTTCATTTGTTCCCAATGGCTTGTGCATGGTACCAATTCACAGGAAAGTCTTGTTTCTTGGTGACTTCTTGTTCTCTTTTCTCCTAGTAGCTTTTAAAACCATAAAAATGTAACTACTTAGATCCTACAGCTTTTAGATATTTAAACTGACATTAAACATGAAGAATGAAAGATGAGTGGAAAGATTTATCCCTTTTCTTTCTTTCTTTTCTCTTGCTTTCTTTCTCTCTTTCTTTCTTTCTTTCTTTCTTTCTTTCTTTCTTTCTTTCTTTCTTTCTTTCTTTCTTTCTTTCTTTTTTGACAGCACCTCACTATATAACCTAGGCTGGTCTTGAATTCATGGCGATCCTTCTGTCTCAGCCTCCTGAGTGCTGGGGTTACAGGCGTGTGCTACCATGTCCAGCAGAAATTATTCATTAGCAAGAAATAAACTCCTACTTTCTTGAGAGAGATATTGTCCTCAAAGTACAAGTGTTGACTATGTTCGTTTTTAATTCTGAGCATCAAGCCTGCCCTCCATACTTTTAGGGACCTAAGAAGTATTTGGTGCAAATCACTTTACTGAAATTTCAGATTTCCTCCAAAATATAAAATATATTTTTTAAAAATCCTGAGACAATTAACCTATTTGCAACTTTGAAATGGCAAATGATAAAATAGCCTGGTTCTAAACTACTTACCTCCTGTGTTGAAACATGTAACATGTTTATTTCTGACATTTAAGGCTTTTCCCACTTACTCCATTCTTGTGAATACTTCTTTAAAAATCCATTTCAGAGGCTGATTTATCTTCATTTACATCTAATCTCCCCAGTCTGCACTTGGTGGGAGAGTGCTGGAAAAGGGCAGGGCACCACAACGGGGAAGACAAGACTACAAAAGCAAGTACACACAGAGCTTCAATCAGAATGAATCATCATAAAGGAAGAGACATATTTTTCAAAAGTACAGCAATGAGTGTGGCTGATAATGGTGTTCCATATGTATGGACGATCACTATGCTCCCCAGAAAAGTCTTAAGGTAACATATAGACAATTGAGCTCAACAAGGTGGTACACATTACATGGCCAGAAACAGTGCATCCAGGGATTTTTGATTCTGTCAGAAAGATATATCTTTCCTTCATTTAGCATCAATCTAGTATAAAGTACCTCTGAAACACTTGCTAGAATAACATTGCCTATGCATCTAATAAATAAAAATAGTGAGAAATTGGCATTTACCTTCTGGCCATCTTGAGAGCCTTATCCAACCCAAGTATTCATAAAAATCAATCTGGTCTTAAAACAGTTACTTAATTTTTACAACTTTTCCTTTTCTTAACTTTTATACCATTTGTCTGACGTGATTAGCAGGGAAATGCTGAAGCTGATCTCCTATAATATCTATTATTAGTAATAGTGATAGATTTTTGTACCTTTGTTGATTTTGGAACATTCTTAACTATTATCTCTGAATATTTTAGATATTTTGATTCTCTCTCTCTCTCTCTCTCTCTCTCTCTCTGTCTCTCTCTCTGTCTCTCTCTGTCTCTCTCTCTCTGTCTCTCTCTCTCTCTCTCTCTCCCCTCCTGCAGTTTTATCTACTGCTCATTATTATTAAAAATATATTTTTAGCCCTGTATACAGAAAAAGCCTGGCAGCAATGACACTCCAGTAATAAGGAAAATACCTGCTATTTCCATTATAAATCATTTCTAAGTACCATTTTCTTTTAAAGAAAAAGACAAAATCAGAAATACAAAACAAACAATCAAACAAAACACAGTTCCTTGTGGAACTGTTTGATTCCAGTCTGGAATAGTGAAAGAAGTTAGGTTAGAATATTTTATTTTATCAGAAAGTAAGGATGTATTTTTAAAGAAACCAAAATATCAATATGCACACTAACTAATTGAAAGTGTCACACAGGACACATTTGGAATATCTGGAGAATTTTCAAATTTTGTAGTCATGGATTAGAACACACTGAATCTACAATTTATGGTGTTATTCAGAAATGGCAGAGTGGCCAAGGTATAGACAGAAAGACACAAAGAAGAAAGGCAAGAGTCACGGAGGTCAGCGTTTTTCTATAGAACGCAATGTTATAGAACCAATTAGAAAATTATAAAAATGAATGTTTTGCATTCCCCAGTGATACATACAATTTGATCAAGCATATGTTGTTGGTAAAAGCTGACACTATTGGGTGAAACTTATTAGAAAATGACTTGTTAACATTCTCTACAAATATCAACAGATGAATTAGGTACTAAGTAGAAAACAGAAAATGTACTTTGCAGTGGGAAAATCTCTTAAAAATCATGTTAACTAAGTGATTAAAATTACTAACACCTGTAATGGAACAAACTGTTATCGCACACATAGTAGATTTTCAATAAATACATTTTGAAGAATGACTAAATGATTGATGGTTTCTAAAGTGATAAAATAAAGGAAAATGCTTTACCAAGATATCTGTGTGCCCTTCATTCTATTCATGTTCCTCTACTTTCTTGGAATTAAGAGACTGGAGCACCCTTAGCTGAAAAAAGTGGTAAATAGATTATTACCTTTCACTTCCTGGAACAAAGCAAAAGAAAGGATCAGTAGTCAAAGGTCTGAACCTTCTGTCTATGAATCTGATATTACAGGAACTTGTTTTTCCAGTTTAAGTGGCTCTCATATTTACCCTTGTTATAAATTATTGGCAAAATTACAGATTCATTTTTGTTTACTCTCCTATTTCCCATATTCAAGTGCTCATACACATACACATACATATACTTTTTCATTTAAATTGCTCTGTTGTATTAATTTCGAGTGATGAAAAGCAAACAACTAATGGTGTTTCCGTGATCTAACCTAACCCAAGATCCTCTCAGCACACAACACACATTCTTTACCCTTTTTTGTTTGTTGGAGATAAAATATAATGTCAATGTCATTTGACTCCCTACACTTGTCTTCTTAAATGAATATCTAATAATCTGTTAAAATCTTATTCCAGTAACATTATCTTCAGTTATTAGTCTCCATGTCTACAATAAACATTCCTTCTTGAAGCAAAGTTCTATTTTCCTCTCAAGGTCAGGTACATGTAGTTGTCTTGCATTTCAGGGAGAATTGACCCTTGAAAATGTTAACAGCAGATCTTATATCTAATGATAGCCTGTGTGTGACTCTCTCTAAATAACTTAATATATCTGTGCCTCAGTTTCCTCTTCTGAAAAATGAAGAGATTGAACTAGGTTATGAAATTCCTTAGTCAGCCAAGTATTCTGTGATTCTAGAAAAGTTTACAAAATTAAAAGTAGGTACGATACCTACACACACACACACACACACACACACACACACACACACACACACACATCTGTGTATTTAAGTATATGTAAGTTTTCTAGTTCTACATTATTCTAGATTTTATAGTGTAAGCAGATTAATACATATACCACATAGAACTAGGACTCAAATGATCTGCATCAAGTGTAAAGATCAAGTGATACACTCACTCTGGAAGGTATTCCAGTAAAATCATCAAAGACTGTATGCACACACACACACACCCCTCCAGAATTACTATATTCTGTTTGCACTTATCCAATTTTCTTTTCAGCAATGACATCTCCAGGCTTGTGGCTTGGAAGGGTTATTATTTGTTTGATTTTGGTTAGGTTTATCTAATTTCATTTGATTTAAAAACAAAAACTATGACACACACAAAATTTTGTGCAGAGTTCCGGATACAATCAGAGAAAAGGCCGCACCTTAATAATAGCATGAAAAATAACTAACTTGGAAATTTACCCCTTTTATTTCTTCCATTCTCACCCCTCCTACCTCTGCTAGAAACTTCTATAGAATGTTTCCTAAAACCTTCCACATCCTAACAGATGGCCATTTTGTCATTGTTCAACTTTAGTAACAAGGTAACTACACATTTTCTGAGGGGAAGTGATGTCTAATTAGTTTACGACTAAGAAGATTCTGTTCCTTGGTAATTCTTATTTATTAAAACTACTTCTATCAACTAGAATCACATTTTTAATATGTCTTCCATGGGTAACTCTTCCAATATTATGCTTTCCTATCTACTCTTCTGGAAACAAAATCTCCGAGGTTTTATTATTGACTCTGCGGTGTACTCAAGTCTTTTGTCATCTCAGTTCTTTCAGATCAAGTTCAAGTTAATCAGTATGACTTCAAGTCACTGTCTGTCTCACATACACACATACATGCATGGACACATGCATGTCCAATACCCTGAATATACTCATACCTTAATAGCACCTCATTTTTCATTTTTCTGTCCAGAGATTTCTGCTCCACTCTTGATAAGAACACCACAGTTTGATGTATTTTTTTTTACAGAAAAACTTTTTAAAGTATCTTGTCTTTTAAGGATATATTTGCAATACTTGTTTTGATCTTTACAGTACATTTCTGTCATCAGTTCCACTGGTGATATTTTAGATATTCTTTTTAAAGAACAAAGATCAGGTTATCCTAGAAAAAGATCTCACTTCTGTGATAAAAATTTTCCCCATATTACTTCTGCTCTATTGCCCTTGCTGTTATACAAGCAACAGTCCTTGTTTGAATTACAGTATGTTTTATTTACTACAACTATAATAATAAATAATTTAATTAGTTTTATCATGTTTATGCCTAACTCTTGTAACCTAAACAAATATTCCTAAGATAACAGTATATAATATATTAACTAATGTTAATTTCCTTCTAATTTTTTGAAATTCTGTATCATATCTTTCATTTTGTTTTGTTTTTAAAATTGAAAAATTAAAATTAAAGAAAAATTAATCAGTCTGCAATTAATAGGATTTCTAAGGGACAGTGTGCCAAGCAAAGATCTTGCTCTTACACATCTTTGTCACACATATAGATGGGAAATGGTTAGATGTTATAACAGAGCCATTCTTTCTCACTACTGCATGGTCTTGTCAGGATGAAAAAGGAGTAAGCCAGCCAGGCACCTGGCCCCTTAAATTTTCCATCCCAGAATTCAAGGTGGATATAGGAAGAGCACTGTAGGGCCCACAAAAGAACCAGTGGTTCTCACCCCAACTCTGTCATCTTACCTGTGTGGCCCAGTAAGCCACTTTTACCCACATAGCTTCAGTTTGTTCATCTGTGAGGGTCACCTGACTAAAGTCTCTCAGAATTTGCTATGATAGGCATAAAGTTTACTACTTGGAGCAGTCCACTGCACTTGTCTGTGTAGCCCATTTCCAAGCTTCTAATCTGGCCTCCTTCCTGCCTCCCTCCTGCTCTAGCCCACCACACCCCATCCTTCCCTAGTGTACCCCATCTTCTCTCTTTTTCTGGACCACAGGGACTAGCTCAAGGTGACAGGACTACCCCCTTCTGAACTAGCACATTTGTCCTATGAAAACTAGGTTCTATTTTCATTGCTTTTTCTAAGCCCTAAATATCCTATATGGACTGCTCCCAACTTACTTTTCCTTGAATTATTGAGGGTACAGTGAAACCTGGTACAGAGTAAATTTTCAATAAATACTGGCTACATAAATTAGTAAAGTGCAAACAATTGCCATAAACACAAAGAGCTATGTCAGTAACCAGTTAACTCTGTGCAGTCAGAACATACAGGAATGACAGAAAATGGATGAGTTCCCACTTTTGAAGCAAGACCTGGTTCCAAATTTCCAGCAACAGATTAGACTGAGGGAGACGTAGGTGAGGCTGAAATTAGTCAGAACTAATATCATAATAAAACTCTTCAATGATGTTGCCTCTCAGTGTACCAGGTTTATTATTTTTAAATTAATGAAACATGTTGCTAAGGTAGGAGGGGAAGTGGGAGTTGATAGGAGCCGGCAGGGAAGGAGCAGTCAAGGCTACAGAGTACCTGTCATCTCGGTGATGTGGACACTTGGTTTCGGTTGTATTTTAAATAAAATTTCATCCCAGTGTAGATAACTGCATCTGGAATTACGTTCCATCCTGTAATCTGTCTCATATATATATAGAGAGAGAGACACACAAGTGAAGCAGTCTCTATTGAGAGGGAGTATCACAGCCTACTTAGGAGCAATACCAGGAAAGAAGGAGCTGCGACCCCTCAGCAGGCAGAGGTTCAAGGAAGGTACCAGAGGTAGAGCCCCCAGCTGTGAAGCTACGCCTGCTGTCCTGAGCATTTCCGCTCCAGACAGACATTCATTCACTGGTAAGACTGTGCTTGAAAACTTAAGAAGGATAAATGCATTTACCCTAAATGAGACAGAAGATGCTGGGAACCAAACAAGTGTGAGTAATGAGAGCTGCTAGCAACCCTGGGTGGGAGCACTAGGGAGTGTGTGCTGATCTCCAGGAGATGCCTGTTTTAAATCAGCAGAAACTGGTCCCTGGGAAATCAGGGGGAAGTTTCTTAGGGAGCAAAATGATCCTATCCTCTTGGTTTGGAGAGACCTGGTTTGCAAAAGGTGACAGATCAGAGGCAGAATGTATTGGTTCAAATCCATTGTTTTCTTTAATTTAAAAATTTTTACTCATGTATTTGCAGTGCATAGTGACTACATCCATATATATATATATATATATATATATATATATATATATATATCCTCATTTTCTCCTCCCTAAATCCTTTGGTCCCCTCTCATTTGCAAAAGATAAATGTACTGTTTTGGAACAGAGCTAAGCTATGAACATGAAAAGCAGCTCTAGTGTTAATTTGCACACTGGGCACTGGAGATCTGGGGTGAGGATGGCTGGGAAAATAGAAACCACAGAAAAATGATCCCATGGCATCTGCAGAGCAGCTGGGATGTGCATTTATTGTGTGCACCCCATGCCAGAATTCTTTACCTATGGTATCTCCTTTCATTCCTGGTAATGCAGCAGGAGGTGAGACATGTTAGAGATTAAGTGAATCAAGACAAGAAAGAGATAATGGAATTTTCAAGCCCAGAACCTCTTCTACCTTGCTGTGCTGGGAACATTGGCAGGGAAAGAGAAGGGGAAAATAGCTAACAGACCTAGAATAACCTGTGAAAGCCAGGGAGCGGCACATGATGTTTGATGTCTAACTTTTCTCTTCAAGTTTTCATGGAAATCCTGTTTGCTATAATCTCCCCAAACATAGCCAGCTAGCAAAAACTAAACTCTGAAACTTGAATAATTAAGATGCTACTATAATCACTGTTGTCTATAATATGACAATTTTCTCTGGCTGTTCCTCCCTCTTTGGACAGGGGCTCCCAAAACCACTTATTCTCACGTCAGGATGAGTTGCTTAGTTAGGGGCCTATGCATGTGTTTCACATAACCCTCTCACACAAGTCTAAAACATTTTGAAAACTTATTTCTGTAATACTTTTCAAAACACTTAAGGGTTCCCTAGGTTCTGCAGCCAAAGCTTCCCAAACTGTTTTTAAAATAATTCATTCTTTGTTTTAAATTGTTACCAGTGTCTGCAAACAAACTAGACCACAGAAAGACTGGCTCTGCCTTCTTGGCTGTATTGGAAAGCTGTGGAACTGTGCCATTTGCCTCCTGGCCTCTCTGTCCCCTGCTTCTTTCTCTCTCTGGAAGGGTCTCTGAATGTGATGCTGACCTGACCCTCAGTGCCTCCCACTTTAGGCTTGAATACCTCTGCTTGCAGAAGTGACTGTACTTGTTTAAATCATCCTAGGAAAGTCCTGCTAGAATAACTCAAAGAAATGGTTGGGTTTCAGGCATTGAAAGGGAAAAGATGTACGTGTAGACTAGAGCTTTGCCCTCTTAATCTAACCAGATGGTGCTTGGTGATATCTGAAAAATTTTGCCCTAGACAGGACATTACAGTAGTGAGAGGTGAGACCAAGGGACTTTACCTTGAGGTCACTTTCTCCGCCCCTAGGCAACTTACCTGTGGCATGAAAAGGGTTTCAATCAGCTACTCATGCATCAGTGATGCCATCTTTAGGCACCACCCCAGTTAAAAACTATATATATGCCCCCACACCACATGTCCAGCAGAGAAAGCCAGACCCCCAGTGGTCATGAGGTTTCTCTCCATGTCCTTAGAATAAAGGCCATTTTTACTTTATATTCTGGCCTTTACCATGCCAAAATTCCTATCAATATCCAGAGTGGGCTGTATTCAAATCTTAAAATTTCATGCTACCTCACTAGGGATTATGACCCATTAGTCCAAAGCACATAAGGGAAATTTGTTCAGGAAACAGATATCACCCAGGAAGCAAAAGGTATATTGTGTCTTGAAAGCTTTAAACAATATCTAAATAAAAAATAAAAGAGAAGTCTCAGAATGTAACCTGAATCTGCCTCCTAATTTTCAGTCACTTACTTTGAGTGTTAAACTATCCAGGCTCACTAAGCCCTCATATTTTAGACAGTGTGGAGCTAAGATGAGCACAGAGCCTTCTGATCTTGCATGCTTCATATTTTGGATAGTTTTCCTTGCTTTTTAACTTTGCATCAACGATGAGGGTGAAGAGACATCACCCAAAATCCTTACCATATTATCCCAAGTAGAGGAAGGTCTACTTGGGAAGCTACTGCAGCTAGAGGAAGGTCTGTTACACTTTGGTGGCAACAGAATTTGCTTCCAAATACATTTTAAGCTTCATTTAAACACCTTTGGCTGCCTTTCCACAAATATTTTCTTCTTGATTAGAGACATGATATTTGAAGAATTAGAAGGTAACTCAGCTTTTAAGGCATAATAGTTATAAATTTGGGATAAAACCTGTAAAAGGTAAATAAAAATTGAAAAGAAATCTTGCCTCCCTACTTCCAGTGGATTGCTTGTGTAATTGAGATGGGTAGGGTTTCCAAGAGACCAGCCAGAAGCCAGCCCACAACAAAAGAAAAACTTTCCAAAGTATTTCCCCGGAAAACTGAAGAAAGTTAGTTAGGTAAGCCTTTTTCATGTTCAGAAAATATACATAATGATTTTAAATTTTTTTAAAATGTCCTTTGTAAAAGATTTTTCCTCTGAAATATATAGTAGCATGAATTAGAGAGACTATCATCTAAGCAGAGAATTTAAAGCAGGTTATCCTGCCTGGGAGAAACTGAATTAATTAAGAGCTGAATACTAATCTAAATTTCAGTTTATTTAACAAGTATTTACTGAGGATCTGATGTAGAAAGACACTGTTGAGCACATCAGCCCCTCTTTAGAGTTTCCCAAGTATTCACCAAAAGCTACAATAGCCCTCGGGGGAAATCTAACACAAAAATCTTGAACAGTATAGCAGAAATAGAATTGCCCAAAAAATGCAATGCTCATGATGCTTACAATTCTTTATTAGGTTGGGGACACCCTGAGAAATAAATTCAGGTGTTAATTTATCTGACAGACAATGGCAGAGAGCTCCTCTCTCCCCAGGAGGCATTCTGAGTTATCAGCAGTAATAATTCTTTCAATTCTCGTATAAAATTCCAGTTGGTTGAAGATAAATGCAAAACATTGCCTTGGGCAGAGGCAGAGAGGCAAGGGGACAGAGCAGTGCTCTGCTTGTTTCTTCCTCAAGACAGGAAGCAGGAGGACAGCTCCAAGACTGTACCTGCAGAGCCTTACACCCGCATTTCCCTGGTTCTTTATGTAGAGGGAGCTCTTTCTTTCAGATTTAAGAAAAGAAAGAAATCAGAGCAAAGAGATTCTCAAACTAAATGCTCTGCTCTCACAGATGGCAACACGAAAATTCAGGGCATTTAGTCAGGAACTATTTAATGGCTTGTGAAAGGAACAAAGGGACAGAGAAATGGAGTGACAGAGTAGTGGGTATTTCTCCATGACTTTCTCACCAGTATTAACTATTTTTGATTTGCTGTGTATCAGAAAATTCAGTATTAATGAGCCATTCAAAATTGTTTCCAAGCTTTAAGGTGCTTTCAAGGCAAAAGGTACCTAATCAGGACTCATACTCTTAGCAGAAATAACCAACTGACGCCTCAGTATGTGTTAAAACTGAAGATCTCATTTTTGGGGGCAATATTTAAAGAAAGAATAAATCCATTTTCCACAAAGACAGTCAATTTAGTCCTGGAGAATGTTCCAAGGAGCACAGAAGGGTTTGGATACATAGAACAGAGGTTCTCCAGTGAAGTCCACAGTCACACAGAGTTAGCATCACCTTGAGTGCAAATTCTAAGACCCAAACTCAGACTTACTGACTCCATAGCTCTCTGTGGAGGCTGGATCGGGCTGGAGTAATTCCCTCATTGGAGTCTGGAAAACTTGAAATTCAAAGAATGATCTATTTACACAGATTAAATTAAAAGCAAACAAAATCACCATAAACTGAGGTGGAAAGGGTGGTATGTAGGTAAATCCACAACCCAGAGATGGCACAACAAAAATATTGGGCTGCAGGATCAAACTACTAGCTCATCTGGCATATGCATGTGCGTGTGTGTGTGTGCGTGTGTGTGTGTGTGTGCGTGTGTGTGTGTGTGTGTATAAAATGCATTCCTGAAAAGGCTTGTGCAGACTGCATCTTCTCCAATAGGATTTACAGATTATCTTTATATAAAAATCATGAACCAGTCTATATTGAGTATCTAGTTAGACAAAAGGCTTTCATACACTGATATTTTAAATTTTATCTTTCATTTTATCAGGTGAGTAAATTGATAGTGAGCTTACAGAATCTGCCCAAGACTTTCAGACAAATAAAGACAAGATGAAATTTGAGCCTGTGGATATCCAACTCCAAGTTTGTGTAGTTCTCATTGCAGGATGTGACATGACTTAATTTGTCCAGTGCATATATTTGGATCATTTAAAGTAAGGTTCAGGTATTTTGCCATAAAATATTATGAAAAATATTTTTAAAGAAAAATAAGCTTCAATTTTTTAATGCAAAACCAAAGAACAAATAAATTACAAAGAATAAGAAAAGGAAATCAGCAGCTGCAATATAGAAGGCCTAAGAGAGCAGTAAATTCTACAGAAACCTAAGCATATGTATATGCAGATGCATATGTGTATGTATAGTTGCACATGTACATGTATATGGGCATATGTGTATATGAGTGCATGTGAATATATGTGTGTGCATATATATGCATATGTGAGTGTGTGTGCAATGTGTGTTCATATGTGCAAAGTGTTTATGTTCCAAGAGTAAAGATAGAGGCTGATAGTATCCTTTTTACAGGTCTAGGCTCAGGGTCCTTTTAGACTTGATCCTACCTATCATTAACAGTCTAAGGAAGGTTAGAAGGTTCTTGGTTCCACTCCCACTTGTGTTTTGGAAAACAGCCTGATGAAGGCCACACTGACCATAAGCTGCAGAGCTTGACCCCCAGGCCTTCTTGGTGACTGCAGAAAGCAAAGCAGTCCACTGCATTCCTTATACTACTAAAAGCCTACCAGAATTTCCATGGTCAATTGCTTATTTGTTTTTTCATGAATTTTTAAAAACTAACATAAGAAAGTTTCAGCTTTAACATAAGTTTCAGCTAACCACAAAATAAACTCCAAATACAGGTAAAACATCCCAATGTGAAAGGTTGATCCCTTTACTAGATATATCTCCTCAGACAGTCCAAAGGATAGGTTATTTTATGATGCAGTTTGAGCACCAGCCTATGCCCAGTATTGACAGCTCAAGAGATGCTGAGGAGCAGCTGTTCTGAACTCCAGGAGAAGTTACGATAAAACCCTGGACATTTCAACCTCACTTTTTAATGCATGATGAAGATTGACAATGAAATAGTCTTCATATCCTTATTTCAGAGCTGATGAGTGCATGCCCACAGAGCAGGCAAAGGAGACTGAGGTACAGGTGGGTTTTCCTCCCTGCACTTTGATAGAAGGTCAATTCTGCCCACTTTATGATTTTCTCAAATGATGATCTCAGAAAGCCTACTTCCCATAAATTTTGATACAATAGCATGCTGTTACTATACAAGAGACTGGACAGCCACAAGTATGTAGACAGCTCAGCCAGAGCCCTTCTCCTCAGCTGAAAAAGATATGCTAAAATTCTATCTGAAACTACTGCTCAGTAGACCAATAACTATATATGATGATCTGAGCCCCAGACATTTTGTATCTCAATGTTTGCATTGCCACAAATGTCATATATTAAGACTTAGTTTGTTTTGCTTTTAAAAATTATGGGTTCAAATTGTCATTACAGACTGACATTGCAGATGTCAGTCATCTCCATAGCTACTTCTTAGCCTGGACCATTGAGAGACCCATCCTGCATTTGGAAATACCATGGACCTAGAGAAGACATGAGGCCATGCCAAGCAGATCATACCCTCAAACAGAGGTATTGCTGAATAGATTCCAACCAGTACCCTCAGCCTGACTGATAACCAGAAACAAACATACGTATAAGGACTGCAGTCTTGGACTAGAGAATTTAGAAACACTTTGGTTTCATGTAAATACCAAACTGCATTTGTCATCATAAACTCTTTAGTAAAATCAACCAAGGAAGCAAACCTGATTGGCCTGAAGAAAGGTTGGCCTAGCAGAGGCTCTTAAAGCTCTGCCTCACAAGCACCAGCTGGGTGCCTAGCCATAGTCATAGTCATTAAACAATCAGGATGTTTACAACTAGCCTTGCTAATAATAAGGAAAGCAAAAATCTGCTTGCTATAAAATCAACTCAGTCAGGCTAAAAATGCTTACTTAGCATATTTGTTATTTGCTATCAAGACCAATGGTTACCTGCAAAGATGGGTAAAAGAGAACCTATACGTATTAAAAGCAATGGTTCTCTAACTTTAGACAACATTAGAACTATGTGAATGGAGGGTTTGGTAAAGTACAGATTGCAGGGGCCCCAATATTTTGATTCTTAATTTTAAAGAAAAACTGAAAATAGTTTGCATCCCTAACAAATTCCCAGATGATAGTGGTGCAATTCACTGTGGCACAACTTTCACAACACTATTATTGAATGTTACTCCATGTCCTCCTGAGTACTGAGCTCCCCTCTCTGCACTTCCCAACTTTCTCTTCTTTATTGCAGTGAAAGATGCTAATGCCAGCACACTTCTGGCTGCTCCTGATACTGCTCTTGGGGGACTCAAGCACAAGCCTCTCACACAAGTTCTGCAAAGCTGGGTCTGTCTTCAACTGTCTCAACACAGCCTTGTGCAAGGTGCAGAAGAACCAGAGGGAGGATGTGCCCCTTCTAAGTAAGAATAGCTTCCACTACCTTCCCAGTCAAGACCTGTCTTTCAGAGAGGAGAAAGAGGAGGAAAAAGAAAATCTGGACAAGGACAAAAGGACTTTCCCTGACTCTGGGGGTGGAGGTGGTGCTGGAAGCACCCGGTACAAATATCTGCCACAAGCACAGCACAAAGGGAAGCTGTACCAGGACAAAGGCAAAAGTGACCAAAGCACCAAGTTCACACTATCCCTCGATGTTCCTACTAACATCATGAACATCCTCTTCAAAATCGCCAAGGTCAAGAACATGCAAGCCAAGGCAGCTGCCAATGCTCACCTGATGGCACAGATTGGGCGTAAGAAGTAGATACAGAGGTTCAGCAGGAAAGCAGCACATCAAGGACAGAGGACAAGAGCAGAGAGTAAAGTTGAGGATGGAAGCTGTAGCATTCAGCTGGTCTGCATTCAAATGAGCCATCCAGTTTCATGGGTTGCTTCACTGCTGAGCCCCTTGCATCTTTTCTTGCAGCCAATCCAGTTTTCCTTCTCTGTACAAAGGCACAAAAGTTCAGTACTGTTCAACATTTGCAAATTATTACATGTTAATGTCTCACCCTGTCTCCTTCCTTCTTTCTCATGGCAAGAGGCAAAGTTCACGCATTCCTCCCCTCCAGATTTGTCCATTCTGGCCACATGCCTGGGAAGAGAGAGTTCAGAGCTCTGCTCCGCTTCACACATCACCTCCTACCATGAGGAAGATACGCTGTCACCATCTTATCTACAAATCCCTTCCCCACTATCTTATCTCCCATTAAAATCAGGCTTCTTGAACTCCTGGGGTGTTCAATTCCATTTCCATCAAACTCTTAGCACCAAACAAACAGGAATGACAAATGATGAAGAGTCCCAGTGGGCCAGTTTCCTATCTCTTTCAGGAGGGGATTGCCCTGGCAGGTTATAGAAGAAGTACTAGAGAGCTCAGAGTCAGCTTCTGTCATTTCTTCAAGGGCCATCATCTTCTTGGCTTGCTTCCACCCAAGGAGCATAATGTAGAGTATGTTTCAGAAAGGGCTTTTGGGCTGAATAAGAGAGGGAGCTTTTTATACTCCAACTTCTTCAGACTTTGTGAGGACTTGGGCCACTGATTCACTGCATTGTTATTACTGAATCTCCATGTACTCAGCTCAGCGCTGGGTGGGGAGTTGGTGGCTGAGACTGATGGCTCAGGCAAGAACTCTGCTCTCTGTAAATCAGCCCTCTAAGTGAATAGACAAAACCAAATGTGAAAAGAAGTATAGACCACTGGGGATATGTAAAGAAGAACATCAAAGTGATAGCAACTAGTACAAAAAATTATATAGATATGTGTGTGTATGTGTGTGTGTGTGTGTGTGTGTGTGTGTGTAGTATATATATGGACTGTAAATATGAGATTATGAGATTATTTTATATGAGCAAGATTCCACTCAGAATGTCATCAGTAAAAATTCTAAAGGCCTCTCAGCAGAAAAGCCACAGGTCAGAGCCCCAGAAAAGATACTATACTACCACTCACTTCTGCATAGTGACAAATCAATAAATATAATGAAATTCTGTATGATAAAACAAAGTACACAGACACACACAACCACCACCAGAGGCAATGTCAAAAGATGAATCAAAAGCTTGAGAAAATTGTTTAACAGTAATATAAAAGATAAATGGGCTCTTTGCCAAACTTATAAAGAGCTGCTAAAAAATGAGAACAAGAAAAAAACTCCAGAAAAAAGTAAGCAAAAGTATAAGTAGACAACATAAACACACATGTACAAACTCAAATATAAAGGAAATTTAATTATATGAAGAGGTGCTCAGCTTCATTTTTTTAAGTACACTGGTGCAGTTTCTTGACTGTCACAGTTCAACAGTGCCCTCCACTGTGAAGTTCAGCCATGCTCTCCTCTATTGCCAGCCAGTGGAAGTATAAAGGCAAGAAAGATAATTTGACAATACTTATCAAAATGACAAATTCAGTTTTCCTTTAAGCCAGTAATCAGCTACTGAGAATCAATGAAAAATGTGAAAATTTAAATTATAAAAAGGTAATTTTTTTTGTCTTTTTCATTTTTACCGGTACCGGGGATCGAACTCACGACCACCTGCTTGCAAGGCAGGCGCTTATGCTGCTGAGCTAAATCCCCAGCCCCCAAAAAGGTAAAAAAAAAAGTGAAAATGCAACTGCTGTTTCCATCCCAGAAAAAACACACCACACGGCAGAAATAATTCTGGCCTAAGACTCTATGTGTCTATGAGTGAATTCTATAATTTCCCAAATATCAATGTCCTTGCAGCCTGACAATTACTCTATAAACATTATTTCATTTACTTCTCACAAATATATTTCAAGGTAGCTACTATTTTTTCCATCTTAAAAATGGAAATTGAGACCAAAAGAAGTTAGGAAATATGTCCGAGGTCTCACTGTTATTAAGTGGCAGAGTCATGACTGTGTAGCCACAAACTTTTATTCATCTATGAAGAGATGACAATTTTTATAGCAAACATTGGAAACATGCCATCCTCACCTCCCAGGGTTACAATGAGCAGCAAATTAGCCACGAATGTGAAAGTAGTTGGAAAAGCATCACAAAGATATTGAGAGTTAAGATTATGTCCTCAGCAGATGAGTTTCATATTTAGATGATGAACGTATACATACAATTACTAAAGGAGGGATAGTAAGACTGAACTGAAATTAACAAACAATAATTGGCAATGTACAAGGTGTTCTGCTGAACAGGCCAGTTGGATAAGTCTAACATTCTTCCCAGAGACTCAGACCCAGATTTGAGATCAGGCAGTACTTCTTAGTCTCTGTGCAAAGCATGAACATTTCAGGAAAGGTGGAGATGGTCAAAGATCACCAACATTTTTACCTGCTATTCCTGATTTCACTGTGAAGCATTTTTGCAGAGGGTAAGGAAGAGAACTGGCATAAATATTTGTAGTCCTAAATGAAATAAAACCCTCAGACATGAAGAAGGAACAGTGTCTCCAGCCACAAGACTCTTAACATTTCAATTTTGTAGCAAGTTTCTGTGACTAATGATTACTAGAAGTAGCAAGTCCTGGAAATCAGTGAGTGATGGAACAGGGCCTTAGTTCACAGGAATTTAATAATTTAATTTAATTCCATTTTTAAGATGGAAAAAATAGTAGCTGCCTTGAAATATATTTGTGAGAAGTAAATGAAATAATGTTTATAGAGTAATTGTCAGGTTGCTAGGACAACCCCATGAGAGTAGGGAATATTTTGTTTGCTCTATGTCGTAATCCCAGTGGCTGGAATTGTGACAAATATATGGCAAGTGTTCAATAAACAATTGGTAATTTAAGAAAGGATGTAATAAAAATTTTGTGATAAGAAAGCCGCATATATTTGAATTTTAAAATACAGCATTTATAATATCTAAAGTCTTTGACTTAATACAATCATATTCAGCCTTTTCATTCCAACTTAAAAATATGTAAATCTCACAAATAAATTTACATTTGCTAACATAGGTAAAAATCTTACTAGCTTATAGAGAGTTCTGGAACACTTGAGTGTACTTGCTATATAATTATTTAAATTATATTTATTCATATAATAAGTATATATTAAATTATAAGTATACTTAAACTATTAGATTTATAAAAAATTACTTAGGGTTCTAGGGAAGATTTGTCAGACAAATTAAAGTCCTCTAAAGACAATAGTATATATTAAATTCTAATAAATTTATATTAAATCTAAAATATTTATGAATATTTATATATGGCTTTAAGTAAACCGAAAACCCATGTAACTCATGTATCTCTTTTAAAAATGATTGTACAAATATGTCAGACTTAAAATAATAATTATAAGCTGAAATTTAAAAATTTAAGAAATAAATTTTCACCTTATCTTTAGTATTCATTATTAAGAACAAAGAAAATTTATAATTTTTTAATGCATGTCCGCACACACATATATATGTGTACCTGTTATTAGTTTAGCCATGTTAAGTATTTCATTAGTGCCCTCCAGTGGCTAAAAAGAAAATTAACATGTGTACATTTAAAAACTTAAGTTAAAAAACCTAATCATACTGTGAAGCACTATGTAGGTTATAAAAACTGAAAAAAAACAACTCATCAGTGAGTACTTGCTACAATATTTCCAACGTGGTGAAACATGTCACAGTGTATTTACACCGTTCATAAGTCCTGTGAGGGGAGTGAATAGATGACCCAGAGTTCTCTACAAGTTCTAAAAAAACAGAAGGTGAAGAGTTTTCATGAATCTGGGGACATCTGAACTACACACCTTGCTGGGGAATAATATCACATGACCATAGGAAAAGAAAGAGCAAGAGTTTAGGAAAGTGAACAAAATATGTGCTGGGTAATGGAGAATAAGCCAGTTTGAATAGAGTTTACAAGATAACTGCAAACAATGGGGATGAAAATTGAAGCTGGAACTATTTGAGACAAAGTATAACTGCTAGATGCAGGACTTTGGGCCTTACAATTAAGCAATGAGGAATCACTGAAATTTTGGATAAGTGAGGAAAATTACCCAAGTTATGCTTCACAGTGTTCAGCCATAGAGAAGTGTATAGGGTCAGTTATAAAGATATAGTGAAATGTAGAAAAGCATTTAGATGCAAGTGTATTAGTTAAGGGGAAAGGTTTTCATGACGGAAAGGAGGGGAATGGATTTTGGAGACATTACAGAAGGGGAAACAATAAAGTTAGTCCAAATAGAAAGAAATGAGACATAATAAAAAGCCATAAAAAAGTGCAGATTAAAAGTCATGCAGAAGCATGTGTTCATGTGAAGCACAGAAACCATAGAGAAGAATGTATGTATGGCGAGCATGGAAGCCATGCAGAAGCATGTGTTTATGTGGAGTGTATAAACCATGCAGAATCATGTGTTTATGTGGAGTACAGAAGCAATGAAAAAGCAATGCAAAATCATGTGTTAATGGTGCCACATAAATGTTATACAGAAGAATGTATTTATATGAGTACAGAAGCCATACAGAAGCATCTGTTTAAAGACACGACATATGCACACACTCACATATGCACAAAAGCATAAACATATTCATGCACAGAGACACAAAGATATGCACCACACAGAAACACAGATACACACAGACACAAAGATACACTCAGACATTCATACATACACAGACACAAAGAGACACAGACACACATACAATGATGCACACTTACAAACACATAAAAACACTCATCCACATGCACACATGCACAGATGCATGCGCTAGAATACACATACACTCATAGACATGCATACACACATACAGAGACACATACACATACAAAGATACATGAATGCATTCAGAGACAAACAGATGCACACAGAAACACACAGATTCACACAGACATGCAAGGTACACACAGAGACAGACACAAAGATATGCAGAGACACACAGACACACAGAAATGCACACATGTGCACACACTCACACAGATTCACACATACACAGA